TGGTCAACTGAAGTCTGAAAATATAAATGGGAAATTACAAAATAAAGGATTCAAAAGCTTTAAATAACTTTTATTATAGTATATGGTTATAATTATTCTCTTACTAGTTATTGTTGTTAAATGTATCACTGTGCCTGATTTATAAACTTTAACACAAGTATGGATGTATATATAGGGAAGGAAACAATAAAAATCCAAGGTTTCAGCCTTCTTATCAAGGTCTTGGAATATCTCTCTCATGGTTAAAATGTGTGGGGGATAATGTATTCCTAAATACACATCAAAATGTATAACTTGTTCTCTATGATATAAGAATAGCTGTCACTATTGTGTGTATGTGTATGTGTGTGTGTGTGTGTGTGTGTGTGTTGCTATGGATTAAATCTGGGCTTTATGCATTGTAGGCAAGCACTTGACCACTGAGCCATATCCCCAGCCCCCATCACTATTCTTAAGCTTCAAAATCTCACAAAAGTGGAACTAAGAAAGGGAAGACACATATACAAGTTTTAGTTTGTTCTTTGAACACACACTTCAAGTTCATATGCTTTGCTTTCAAAAGGTTACAATTTAGAAAGGCAAATATACATGTAGTCCAATACTAGCTGGAAGGAGATTGACAGAGGTAGGCACAGGAATGGGATCGGGCCTCAGCCTGGTGGCTGCTGGTTCCTGAAGGAGCAGACAGTGGGTGAGAGTTGGGAGACCACTGGGTAGAGACAGGAACTGGGACGGCAATGCGGGGGTGAGGGGACAGTAAGGTAAGGCATGGCACTGTCTCCCAGAGGGCTGTGTTGGTGGGCTGTGCTTGGATCAGTGTGAAAGAAAAGAAAAGTGGGGAGATAAATGTTTGAACTTTTGTGCTGAAAGTCATGGAAACTCTTTAAATGATATCAGCATAGGATCTTCCTAAGGGAGCTAGAAAATGCTTGGAAGAGAGAAGATAAGGATGAGGCATTCCAAGAAGGAATTGTGTAGGAGTAGATTATAAAGAAATCATCATGCATGCTATAAAGCACATTTAAGGAGCAAGAGAGTGAGTGAAGAGAACAACCCAGGGAATGCTGTGCAGGGGGAGGAAGTGGTCAGCCCCAGGCAGCACTGGAGGAATAGAGTGCAGACCCAGGAAGGCCATCGTGGGTGCATGGTGGGTGGGGGGGTATGCAGTGCAGCTCAAGAAGGGGCTGGTGACGTCAAATGCACCAAGTGAAAGGAGAGCTGGTAGGTCTGAACTGGAGACTTAGGGCAGCCAAATGTTCTTAACTACCATGACCTCTATTTTCATCAGAACCCACTAGGGTCACTGTGCACAGTACCAGAATCACCAAAACTGGGAAGCTGGGGGGTGGCCAATGTCTCCTGATCAGAAAAGAACCTTGCCACCATGCCAACCACATTTTATGGTGAAGACGTTATTAAGACATGGGTAGAGGGGAAGGAGAGGCATTGCCAGTAATAACCAGGTACTGGCTTGAGGAGACAGGAAGTGCTTGGTTTCAGGTGCCCCCAGGCCTGTGCACCATGGAATCTACCTTCGTCCTTGGTGTCTGTGTTTTTAATGGGAAACCACTGTGGATAGCAGTGTCCATCACACAAAAGCTGGACAGTTGTAGCTGCATGGTTCTCTCCTGAGTTCATTTGCACTTTAGTGGTTTTGCTTCGTTTGGCCTTTTACAACTTAGCAGCTCAGGAAGTAAAACTGAGGGCTCAGCAGATTTTTAAAAATTTTTACTCCAAATGTTGCTTTAATGTTAGTATTTCTTGGACAGGGATTCCTGATGTCCTAATTAATTTCTCTTGGTGTCTCCTTAAAAGCATCCTTTTAACATTTGTGGATCTGCCCATGACTTTTGCTTTTAATTTGTACTCACTGATATTTTCCTTTAAGGCAGGGAGAAAGGCCCCTCCTTCTGTGGCCAGGTAAAAGGTATTTGGAGACTCACTTGAAAGTTGCTGAATATAGTGGTGACTTTAGGGCAGCAGCTTTAAGAAATGTCAACTGGCAGGGGTAAAAAAAAAAAAAGAGTAGTTCTGCTCTTTCTTCCTCCCCTTGTGAGATCTGACTTTTAAAATCCTTTGTTGCTTCACAATACATTTTCAACTGCATTTGAAGTAATTAACGCTCAGAATTGAATCCTGTTGTCACATTTAATTATCAGATAGCGACTTTCCATTGGGATATCTGACAGTTGCCCAAAATGTTGTTCTTAATCTAAAACCAAGAAGTGACCTCTGACATACTAACAGCCACCAAAGTGGCATTTATTAAATATAAATGATAAGTGTCTAAAGAGGAGGTGCATGTGGGAAGAACACTGGTGCTCATCTCAAACAGCGAATCCTCCAGCACAAAGGGACATCACATTAGGTCTTACTTGAAGCGCCTTCAGTTCCATTTGTCCTGGGATGATTCAAAGCCTGCATTTGCACTGAGAAATCAAAGTGTTCTGACCCTAAAGTTCTAGCTCCAATCTGTCCAGCTCCCCATAAAGACAAAGGCTTCTATTAGTGTATTTTCTGGAAAGTAACTTGCGTGAGGGAAAAAAAATGATATTGATTTGAAATGAAGAAAGCTCATTTATGTGCATTTGAGGAACCCTAAGTGGATCAGCTAAAGATATGCAGTGAGGGAAAAAAAAAATCTGTTACCCTCTGGGTAGTTTCTTGTAATAAGCTGGAAATGCAAAACCCATTAATAGTATTAGAAATTAGGTGCCTAATGAATTGTGCCTATTATTGGAGATTTTCTGTGATAACAATTCCTTAAAAGCTAGAAATTGCCTGTATCTCTATGACATACAGAAAAGATAATGTTAAAGGCATGGGGAATGATCTCTAAGAGGACATATTTTATGTGGTTAAAGAAACACAGACCAAGTTCTGGTACTTACTATGTAAGGACTATGGCCACTGCGTCATTCAACACACTCTCTCCAAACAGGAGGGTGTACAGGTCCGGGTCGACATGTAGTTCATGGAAAATAGCCAGCACAGTCACTAGAAGACACACACACGAAAAGATGCAGAGTTAGCTGGACAGAGTATGGAACTTTCTAGGTTGTGGTCACTTCTACACAGCAGTCATTAAATACTGGTCTTCTCAAATCCATCCACCATAGGGCACCAGATGTTTATTCCCCAAAAGGCTGATCATCTCATTCCCTTGCATGGAGATTTCTCTGGGCTCCCCAGTGCTGACAAATTTGAGCTCCTCAGTACAATCTGGGCCTGCTTACTCTCCAACACTGTCTCTCTCTACACTCCTTCTCTGCATCCTTGGCTGCTTTCCTCAAGCCATGCTGAACTTCCACAGCTTTCCAAACATACAGTATGCTTTGTTAGCTACTTTTGCATTTTGATTTCTTCTAACAGGGCAGCAATTTCTTT